CTGCATGAACACAGATATACATAAACAAATAATGTAGTCATTGATAGGTTTATTCCAACTCACATGAAGCCTTTTATTTGATTTAGAGTAATTGAGGCAGGGCTGCATATTTTCATCCAAGGGTCTGTTACAATAGGAAGCATTTTGTTTTTGAAAGGGAGTCTGGATCTGTTGCCCAGGCTGGAGTGCAGTGGCATGACCTCGGCTCACTGCAACCTCCACCTCCCAGGTTCAAACTATTCTCCTGCCTCAGACTCCTGAGTAGCTGGGACTACAAGTGCCTGCCACTGCGCCTGGCTAATCTTTGTATTTTAGTAGACAGGGTTTCACCATGTTGGCCAGGCTGGACTCAAACTCCTGACCTCAGATGATCCACCCACCAGCCTAGGCCTCCCAAAGTGTTGGGATTACAGGTGTGAGCCACTGCGCCTGGCTAATAGGAAGATTTTGATTCTATCTTAAATTTAAGAAAGCTCCCTCCTACTTCATGGGAGTGCAAGCCTTTGAGCCTACAAATCAGTTTTAACATATCCTCTCCAGAAATCTGTTCTGACTTGTCCGACTAAAGCTCCCACTAAGAGGGAAAAGAGAACAGCTGCAGCTTTCACCTAAACTCTCCTCAGTCTGCACTTCTGTGTATCACCTGCTTCTGGCTTAAGCAGTGACTGGAATTTTTGGCTATATTTGTTTTGGAAAGTAAAATGTAAATTCAACCAGGCTCTTGCTAATTCCAGTAGTTATTAAGCCAGTTGTGTTGGGGAGGGCTCCTTCACAGTGATCAGGTAGCATTTTGACTACAGATTCACTGGTCTCAAGAGTCAGCTGCCTTTCCTCTGTGCCACAGTTAAGTCCTTGCCTATGTCTGTCAGAAATGGGGTGGAGGATGGCATAGAAGGGATATTGTTATAACTGCCTCCCTGGCCACCATCAGCACTTCTCACCTGTCCTTGTGAACCACCAGTTTGCCCTTATAGAATGTAGTTTTGCATCAGCAGTTGAGGTCACTTTGCCTTGGAGCTGCTGCATCAATCTGAGTCTCCATGAGCCACAAGACAGTTGTGATGATGGTCTGGATGGCAGCCTGCAAATGACCAGTTACACTCCCTAGAATTCCTAGACTATTTGTTCTGGAATAGACCTTGGCTATTAACACAAGTTCAAGTCCATTTCATCCAGATGACGAAACTGAAGCCCAGACACCTACATACAGAATCCTGCTTTAGATCACTTGTTGACTTCTAGTTCTACTTTTTGACTCCTAGCATCCAGTGTCTTTTATACTTCAGGACACCGTGGTCTAAGCTGGGTTCAAATAGAGCTAGAAACCAGGTGTGGCAGCACACACCTGTAGTCCTGGCTACTTGGGAGGCTGGGGCAGGAGGTCTGCTTGAGCCCAAGAGTTCAAGGCTGCAGTGAGTTGTGATTGCACCAGTGCACTCCATCCTGGGCAACAGATGGAGACGGTCTTAAAAAAAAAACCAAAATCAAATAGAGCTGGAGCTAAACATTTAATAAACTACAGCCTCTGCAGATCTGCATTTGAATTGTGACTTTGCTACTGACTGGCAATAAGACCTTGGTTAAGTTAACATTAACATACTCAGCAAGTCACAGAATAAGCTTCCAGAACTTGGCCTAAACCCTGGGGAGGGGACACTGAGAAGAAATAGGGTAATTTTTCTCTTTTAACCAGTTCATCTTTTTTTTTTTGTGAATGCTCTCACCTTTATTTCCCTCCATATACCCGTGATACAGACATTTCATACATAACAAGGTCAAGGACATATGCACGATCTATGTAAACCAGAGGCAGAACCATGGCTAAAACATCTAGCCCAGCAATCAGCTCATATCCCTGAGGAGTGGGGGCGGGGGGGGGGGGGAGGGAGTCACAGGCCGTTAACCAACACCTGGGAAATCCTTGGCTTCCCTGAGAATGAATGACTCTGGGGGCGATTCAGGCAATGAAGTAGCTAGAAGGCCTTTTCTTCCAGGGCTCTTGACTCTCAGTATCAATAGTCAGTTGTGGGTTGCTGCCTTCCATTCCTTTCAGCAGCGTATCAAGTTCATCAGTAAACTCATTGACTTTCAACCTGAGTGTCTGGAGGGTGCCATTTGGATGTGTCAAGGTTTCAAACAGCAACTTTACTCCACTATACCCCAAGGAACTCAGTCCCGAGTGATGAGGGTCTGGTTGCAGCTGAGGACACAGTAGAGGTTCTCACAACTGGCCTGAGAGATGGAACATCCCCACAACCACAGACGTTTCAAGTTACACAGTGGTTTCTTCAAAGCCTCACATAGGCCCTGCACTCCGGGAACTCCTATGTCATTCCACCCCAGATCCAAGTTCGTTAGGCTGGATTTTTCGTGGAGAAGCTTTGCGAGGTGACAGCAGCCTTTGCTAGTTACGTCACAGTTCCACAGCACCAGGGTCTGTAGTTTACACTCGCGGTAACTCAAGCCCTCACACAGAAACTTCACCCCTATATCCCCGAGGGGGTTCTCGGCCAAGCACGGTTCATCCGCTCCCGGCTGACAACCAAAATGGCAGCCAGTGGATTCAGATATGTATGATCTTCCCAAGAAAGAGGACGCCTTACTCTACCAGAGCAAGGGCTACAGTGACGACTACTATGAAGAGAGCTACTTAACTACCAGGATTTATGGGGAGCCCGACTCTGCGGGCCAGTCCAGGGGCTTCCACCAGTCTGCGACTTCACTCCCAGATGCTGACACTTTCCATCACCAGGTGCGTGATGACAATCTTTTGTCGTCTTCTGAAGAGGAGTGCGAGGATAGGGAATGCCCCATGTGCGGCTGGGACAGTGGCTACCAGAGCATCGCAGACTACCGCCCTGTTTCATCCTCCAGGAGCTCCCTGGGCCTGTCCTATTATCCTACCTCCTCCACCTCTTCTGTGTCCTAATCATCTTCCCCTTCATGGCTTACCCGCCGAGGCATCCGGCCAGAAAAGCATGCTCCTGGGGCCGGGCTTGGCCACCTGCTGCTTTTCCTGGTCTTAGATCTTCCTCTTCTTTACTGCTCCATGCAGGCGGAGGAAGGCAACCCCTTCTGCAGGGAGCCCTGAGGGTCTGGGCTTCGGAGCCAGCTCTTCTGGGGAAGTCCTGGCTGACTGCCTTAGCAGTGAGGACGGGGATGGGGGCGGGGGCTTTTGCGTGTGTTCTCGCTTGGGGGGCGCTGGGCTAGCCCAGAGTAGTGCTTGCTCCCCTGCCTTGTCACACCAGGGAGGCAGCAGACTCAAGCCCTCCATGGTCTGGGGGACCTGGGTGTCCTTTCCTCTCTAGCCTCCTGGCCCTACTTGCCTGTAACCCTTAGGGTCCAGGAGGTCAGGGCCTTGCTCCATCAGAGGAGAACATGGTTACTGTTGTCATGCATGCCTCCTTTTAGTTGTCATCTGGAGGGGATTAACCAAAGGCCACCATGACTTTGTTTTCGTGGACACACAATAAAAACCCATTAAAAAAAAAAAAATACCACCCAGGGAAGGGTGGTTGTATGTAGCTCAGAGGAATCAGAAATTCACCTGAAATCCGGAAAAGAGGCATTTTTCTTGCACACCAGAGCTCATGAGTTGACATTCTCACCAGCTACCCTGGGCACCCCTCTAAGACTCCTGCTCCGCGATCCCCAAGGCCGTCAGCCTTGCCTGACTACCAAACGTTTCCCCTTCTTATGCTGGCTTAATTTTTCAGAGCTTTCCCCCTTTCTATTCGTGTCCTATCGGGTTCCCGGTCCGAAGGCTAGAACACCCCACGTAGCAGCCAGGAGCAGAGGCGCCCACGGCTGCGGTACAAGCTGTCTTCAGGCCTATGGACCCGTTGATGGCAGAAACAGGTCGCGGGGACGGCCCCAGCCCCGGACTCCAGGCGAGGCGAGGCTCTCGAAAGGTCCCTGACGCTTCTCTGTCCTCCCGGAGCCGGCGCTGTAGCGCCTCCTGGATCAACGGTTAGCACAGCAAACGCGCGGCCTGCGGCCGGGGGTAAAGCGCCCGCGGAGGCCGCGTAACGGCCGAGAAGAAGACGGCGGCTGAGGAGGCCCATTCCCGAGGCTCGGCCCCGTCAGGGTCGGCGCTGGCGGTGTGCGCGTGTACGTGCGCTCGTGCAGGTGCTTGTGCGTCCTCGCGCGCGCCCTAACAAACCTGCTCAGATGCGTCTCCTCAGTCTGCCCGTCGGTGACGCGCCTGGCGCCACGCGGTTGCCCGCCCCTGGGCGCGTCCAGTTCTAGCTCTGCGGCCCTATGAGCGCGTTGCGGCCGCGGGACAGCCCTGCAGAGAAACGCGGCCACATACGCACTGGGTTTCCCGTCTGGGTTTTTATCTGCTCAACACTCCAAGCGCTCTGGCGTCCCCACACAGCAGCACTCCAGATCTGTCAGATTTCCAGAAATGTTTTGATCGCTTGCTTTCACTTCTCTTGGCTCGGTGGCTCAAGCCTGTAATCCCAGCACTTTGGGAGGCCGAGGCGGGTGGATCACGAGGTCAAGAGATCCAGACCATCCTGGTCAACATGGTGAAACCCCGTCTCTACTAAAAATACAAAAAACTAGCTGGGCATGGTGGCGCGTGCCTGTAATCCCAGCTACTCAGGAGGCTGAGGCAGGAGAATTGCCTGAACCCAGGAGGCGGAGGTTGCGGTGAGCCGAGATCGCGCCATTGCACTCGAGCCTGGGTAACAAGAGTGAAACTCCGTCTCGGGGGAAAAAAAAAAAAAAAAAAAAAAAAAAAAAAAAGATCTGTTTTTCAACTCTGCAGTGTGTATATCAAGACTCTGACACGTTTTAGGGCCGCAAGGGTAATGAAGCTTTGACATGGGTGCCGCGGTGAATGACTGAATTCTTATTCCTGAATAAATCGTCTGACTGGCTTCCCCAACGCATGGTAGGGTTAAAACATGCATTTTGTGTTTGTTTAATATTTATGTTTGTATAGACTACACGTTTCATAAGGGCACGGGGTGGGAGGGGCTATGGCTCTTTTGCCTCTTACTGTATTTCCAGAACTTAGCAGAAGCTAGGAGATAGTGTATGTTATCTAAATAGATACTGAATGTGAGGAAGGAACTTTCCAGAAGTGTGATCTTTGGTTTTGGAAGGGCACAAGGTTCATAGTTAGGTGTAGAGAACACAATTTTAGAATCATGGCCTCTACACTTTGACAATACATTACTTTCAGTAACAACTTAAAAAAATGCATTCCAAATGTATATTATATATACTTATTTGTAAGTTATAAAAATGTAATGCATGCTCGTATATATTTAGGTATTATTAGAAAGAGCACACCAAATAGAAAATTTAAAAAGCTAAAGTAAAAATAATACCTTGGTTGGGCACGATGGCTCACGCCTGTAACCCCAGGGCTTGTGAAGGCCAAGGTGGGCAGATTGCTTGAGCCCATGAGTTCGAGACCAGCCTGGGCAGCATAGTGAGAACCCATCTGTACAAAAAAAATCAAAAAAATTAGCCAGGCGTGGTGGTGCGTGCTTGTAGTTGAAGCTGCTTTGGAGGCTGAGGTGGGAAGATGGCTTGAGCCTGGGAAGTTGAGGCTGCAGTGAACTGTGTTTGTGCCACTGCACTACAGCTTGGGTGGCAGAGCGAAATCCTGTCTCAGTAAGTTAAATAAATAAATAAATAAATAAAAGTACCTAAAAGTTCTGAAATAATTTCCTGCAGTGTGCATTTTGGAACCCACTAGGTAGACAGTTTGTAGGGAGAGGACTGCCCTCTACTGGTGGAGAGGACCTAAGGCTATTTGCTTTGGATAGCCTGCCTTTGGGAGTCCACAGATTGATCCTATGTGGCCTACATGGTGTGTACACTTAGCATTCAGTCTACGTTATTTTCACTCATAGAAAATGTAAGGTGAATCATTGTTTTAAGCCAGAACAGCTTTAAAAGGCAGAGACACTCGTATTGTGCAGTCATTATGACCAGGAAACGTTGAACTATCTGCGGGTGGAAGTGACTCAAAACTGAATGTCCATCTCGGTAACACCATGGTCAATACTCAGCAAAGGGGAAACAGTTAATATGTCAAGTCTTACAAATCTTTTTTCACTTTGAAAGCAACTAAATTATACTATTGTAGTTTTGATAGCAGAATATGCCCTTCTGATTTTTTTTTTTTTTTTTTTGAAATGCAGGAGTCTCGCTTTATTGCCAGGCTGGAGTACAGTGGCACCATCTTGGCTCACTGCAACCTCCGCCTCCAGGGTTCAAGAGATTCTCCTGCGTCAGCCTTCCAAATAGCTGAGACTACAGGTGGCGCCACCATGCAAGGCTAATTTTCGTATTTTTAGTAGAGACAGGGTTTCACCATGTTGGCCAGGATGGTCTTGATCACTTGACCGCGTCATCCGCCTGCTTCAGCCTCCCAAAGTGCTGAGATTACTGGTGTGAGCCACTGTACCCGGCCCTACCCTGCTGATTTTTAAGGCTTAGAGACTTTTAGAGCGAAAAGCATATAACAGATTTTTTTTTTTTTTGAGACGGAGTCTTCGTCTGTCACCAGGCTGGAGTGCAGTGGCATGGTCTCAGCTCACTGCAACCTCCGCCTCCCGGATTCAAATAATTCTCCTACCTCAGCCTCCTGGGTAGCTTGGGCTACAGGAGTGTGCCACCAAGCCCAGCTAATTTTTTTGTATTTTAGTAGAGACGGGGTTTCACTATGTTGGCCAGGATGGTCTCGATCTCCTGACCTCGTGATCCACCCACCTCTGCTTCCCAAAGTGCTGGGATTACAGGCATGAGCCACTGCACCCGGCCACAGATTTTTATAAGACAACATATCTTTTTCACTTGAGAGTTCAGTGTTTGAACACATTTAAAGTGCCTTTAGGCAGAGGCTAAACTGAGGGAGTCTGATTAAAATATAATTTTAGGAATATATTGCAGATCTATGTATGAGTTTTCCAGCAAAGTAATCTATACTTTCTGTGAGAATATGAGTGAAACGTATACCACAGAATGCAGTCAACCATGAAATTGTTTTCTAAGCTGTGAACTGTATAAATAATTAAGTTGTTATTATTTATTAGTCCAAAATTATTTTTTCATTGCATGACTAACGTATTCCATTTTACCTTCTCAGTTCCACTTCTGCAAAAACTAGTATGTGTCAGAATCTGTTTAAGCTGCTCCTACCTTCAAGTTGCTCACAGTCTAGTATGGTTATAGGCAGGGAGGCAAATGATCATTAATGAATGAGTCCTGATCCCTCATCCTATCTCACGAATAACACACCTACCAGCAAATATACACAGATGCCCAAAAGTGTCTAGGCAGGGTAGGGAAAGGAAGGAAGGAAGCAAGAGAAGAATTGCATTACATGTCCCATTGATTTCAAGCTCCTCACACTGGTGCTTCTAAATTGTGAGGCTTTCTTCACAATTTATTATATGTCTCTGTAGAGTCGTGGTCAATACTCTATAAAGGGAAAACAATTAGTGAATCTGTTCTCATGTATCAAGTCTCACAAGTTTTTCCCATTTGAAGACAAACTAAATGATACTATTGTAGTTTTGCTGATTTTTAAGCCTTAAAGACTTTGAGAGCAAAAGCATTTAACAGATTTCTATAAAACAGTATGTCTTTTTGAATTGAATAGTTCAGTGTTCAAACACATTTTAAAGTTCCTTTCAGCAGAGGCTAAACTGGGAGAGAGGCTGTACTTGGCTCCATAGCAAATGTCAGGAAAGAAAATTATGCAGCAGCATAAAATCCAGGCACAGTATCCAAAGGGTACAAATCTCCCAGAATTCCTACCTCAAAGCCCACATGCTAATTCAAATGCTCCCAGCCATTTGGCTACTCAAGGTCACCAAAGAAATTTTTTTTTTTTCAAAAAATTTTTTTTTCCCTTGAGACAGGGTCTCACTTTGTTACCCAAACTGGACTGCGGTGGAATGATCATGGCATGTTGTGGCCTTGACCTCCCAGGCTCAAGCAATCCTCCTGCCTTAGCCACCTGAGTAGCTGGAACTACAGGTATGCACCACCATGTCCAGCTAATTTTTTACAGAGATGCGGTTTCTCCATGTTGCTGGTCTTGAACTCCTGGGCTCAAGCAGTCTGTCCACCTCTATCTCCCAAAGTGCTGGGATTATAGGCATGAGCCCTCATGCCCAGCCACAGATTACTTATTAATTACAAATAGAAAAAATTCCATTTACAATGAAGAAATTTGGAAGATGCTATTTTAATTAGATGATCAATTTATCATCAATAAAATGACACACTGATATTTTATATTTTATGCCTCTGATGTGATTCATTGAGGAAGGCATGACCTGTCCTATGTAACATTTTTGCCAAAAATGTTTAATCAAAATCTAATTTGAGGAAGCAAAGAGACAAATGTAATTAAGGGACATTCTTTAAATCAATGGGCCTGAACTCTTCAAATATCTATAAGTAAGAATAAAAATAAACATGAGAATAATAGAGACATGAAACACTACATTTCAATCCATGCTATTTGCTTTATGTAGTAATGTTTTATTGTGTGATAATTTGTTAATCATTAAAATATTTAGTGTGTCTTCTGTCCACATCTTAGCCTGTTTAGAGCATTTTTGAAAGCTTCTGGAGATATATGTTTTCAATTGATATATGTTTCAATTAAATTATCAGGAGAGTTTCATAAAACAAACCTTAAAAAAGGTCAATGTCATGAAGGTTTTTTAAAATATGGAGGAACTATTTGTTCCAGATTAAAGAAGGCTAGCTGTTTGATCCTTGATTAAATCCGGGGCAAGAAATAAAAACAACTCAAAAGATGTGATTGAGAATTGAAGAGAAATGACTTCAGCAAGAGGGTGGATGAGGAGGCACCAGCTCTTGTCCTGCAAAAACAGCAATTTATCTACCAGTGAAAATAGCTCTGAGAGTGCTCCGGAGTATAATTAAGAACCCGTAGCATCCCAGTGGAGCACAAAAACTGAAGATGGTTGCATAGAAAAGCACTGGAGCATTTTATCTGCATCAGTCTATCCCCCAGCATGGCACTGCTTAATGCCGAGAGGAATCCCTTTGGTCTTGACCTTCTCCTGTCCTAGGACCCTGTGGAGGAGAAGGGTCCAACATATAGACACATGCCTACCAATGGTGTAGCTTGGTTTACTGACAACTCTGTGAAACTGAATGCAGAAGGGGTACACTGGATTTGCCTTCTTTTGACTGACACTGGGCATGGATATTTTCACTCAATGGGTTAAACTGTGTGCAGTGGTTCTGGCTGTGCAGGCCACCCTGACACCACATGTTGCTACATTTTCATGGATTCACTGGCTGTTGTCAACAGCCTAGGAATTTGATCAGGAAAATGGCAGCTGAGTGACTAGACTCTTAAAGGACCAGGCAGACACCAGACTGGCCTGTGCCTGCCTATCAAATCCCAATTTTGGTGTTTCCAATCATTCTTTTTCCTTCTTCCCTTTAGAGTGCCATCCTGGGGTGTTCTGTGGTTCAGGCCATTATAGTACCCCAAGCAGAGCCGCCTGATTCTAATCTGGAAGCCATGCTTTCCCTGGTGCTGCTTTTCCTGGGTGTACAGGGGCGGGAATGGAACCAAGGAGTACCTGGACACTAGGGTCCTTCTAGTGATCCTTCTAGTCCGGTGCCTTGTCAGATTTGTACAGGATGTGACTTCCCTTCCTAGACTGGAAGGCTGATGTAGAAAGATGTAGGTTAAGAAGTAGGTCAGCAGGTGCTGCAGAGGTAGTATGCTCAGGACTGTACAGACAGACTGGGTTACAATACCTGGACAGCCAGCACCCCAAGTGATAGAAACATATCCAACTACCGGAAGTGCAGGAAGCAGGCAAGGGACACAAGCGGAAGAGGCTCAGAAGCAGGCTCGCTGGCTGCAGACAGAGGAGCCGCCTGAGGATTCTTCTTTGACTCTTTAGCAACTTCTTGCCTGGACTGCTGGGATCCTGGGCTAGTCTCAGGCCTGGACGTCCTGCTTGTGGTAGGAATCCTCCTAGGCCTAGCAAAGTGTATTCTGGTGAAAGCTTGATGATGTTGCACTGAGATCATGTCAGTCAAGGTGCTACATCTATTTGAAGAGACAAATCCCTGCCTCCAGATCCGAGAAGGTTGATGAGCGTGTGAGGTGGACTGGCTTTGCTAGGAGGTACCTGGGTCGGGGGAGTGCGTTGCAGAAGGACAGGACCGTGAATGGCCTTGGCAGACCTACCACTTCTCCTTCCCACTTACAGTTCTTATAAGAATAGAATGTGCTGAGAATGCAGAGCCGTGAGATAAGAAGGAACTGTTTGGAATAGCCCAGGCTTTGTCCTCGTTCCTCCCAGAACAGGATGTCCTGCAGTGCTTGTACTCAGTAATCTCAGATGCCCCTGGGATACAGAACCCAGAGCAGAGTGCTTTTGGGGTCTCTCGGCTACAGTGTGAAGTGGGGTACAGGCAGATGAGACTCCATTCATTCCATGCAGCTCTCCTGATCCTTGGGAGATTGGCTTGCCATGGATCCCAGGCTTCTGTTGATTCTTGCTGTCTAACTTTGGGTAACACATTTCCTTTGCCTGACTTGTTATGCGAGTGTCTGTCTCATCGACTAGACCTAAGAAGGCAAGTTGTAGAGGCACAAATGCTATGGCAGCTAGATCTGCTCTGAGCCCCTGCCAGAGTCAAGAACCCTTACAGAACTCTGGCAGCTGGGTTTGTACAAAACCTCCTGCCAGACTAGGAACCTTAGCAGAAACTGGTGAGGTGTTTAGAGTCCTCCTCTGGAACTGATAGCTGGTGCACGGTGTTCTCCTCCTAGGAATTAATACCAACTCACAGCATTTCCGCTTGACAGTATATACCATGAAATATTATTCAGTCTTAACAAAGAAGGTAACCTTGCCCTTTGCAACAACATGGATGAACCTGGAAGATATTGTGCTAAGTGAAATAAGTCAGACACAGAAAGACAAACACTGCATGATCTTACATATATGTGGGACCCAAAATAGTTAAAACTCATAGAAGCTGAGAGTAGAATGGTGGCTGCCAGGTGCTCAGGGGAGGGGAAAATGGGGAGATGTTTGTCAAGGGGTAAAAAGTTTTAGTTATGCAAATGAATAAATTCTGGATATCTAATATATGTCTGATGACTGTAGTTAATGATATTATATAGTTGAAATTTGCTGAGAATAGATGTTAAGCTTTCTAGACACACACACACACACACACACACACACACGCATGCACACACGGCAGGGGGAAGAAAAGAAAATGGTCTGAATGTTTTTGGGTGTCCTCCCGGGCACATTCACATTGATTAGGGTCCCACTAATTTAATCTTAATTACCTCATTAGAGGCACTATTTCCTAATAAAGTCACATTGAACTCTTCTTGACTTAAGATTCCAGGCCGGGCACGGTGGCTCACACCTGTAATTCCAGTACTTTGGGAGGCCAAGGCACACGGATCACCTGAGGTCAGGAGTTCGAGACCAGCCTGGCCAACATGGTGAAACCTCCTCTCCACTAAAAATGCAAAAAATAGCTGGGCATGGTGGTGGGTGCCTGTAATCTTAGTGACTCAGGAGGCTGAGGCAGAAGAATCACTTGAACATGGGAGGTGAAGGTTGTACTGAGCTGAGATTGCACCACTGCACTCCAGCCTGGGCAACAGAGCTAGATTCCATCTCAAAAATAGAATGCAATACAATACAATGCAACACAACACAACACAACAGACTCTTCTTTTCTCTATCACAATCTCTATTGTTTTTCTCCAGTTTTGGGAAATTCTCTCCCTCCAATGAGAATAAAGTTCCAAGAAGCCAGGGTCAGCTTGTTTCCTGAGGTCTCTCCAGCCTCCTATACCTCCTAGACTCAGTCGCCACTCCCCAAATACATTTTGAATGCATGATATGGTTTTTTGCTGGGGCCTGACTATGTGTGCACCTGAGGTCAAAACGCAGCTGGCACAAATTTTTTTTTTTTTTTTGAGACCGAGTTTCGCGCTTGTTACCCAGCCTGGAGTGCAATGGCTGGCACAAATTTTAGACCATATATATGTCTTGTGTTATTGATGTTGAAAGAGTCTCACTAATCTGGTGCCTTTTCTTTTATAGCCCATGCAAGACTATATCACAGAATTTCTTATCCTGTTATCTGTATGCCACTCTGTTATTCCCAAGAGAGATGGAAACAGTATAATCCCCCAGGCTTCCTCCCCAGGTAGGTAGGTGTACATAGCTCTGCGTGACTGGCAGGGGATGAGGCCTCAGAAGAAGTGGGTGCTACCACCAATCGCCTTATTTGCGTCTGACCTTCACCTTCCCTGGAATTCTTACAGCACTTATGGTTCATCCACAAAGACTGCTGTAAAGAGGCTGTGAAGGTGCTCAGAACGTGGGGCTCAGCGGTGCACTTAGTTATCATCAATTACAAAACAGAGGTAAAGTTAAGGCCTTGCAACATTTTATGGGATTACTACGAATGGCTTTGAGAACAAACAAGATCATCACAAACAGTAAGGAAGTATTTCACCCTCCGCCTGGTTAATTCATCTCAGCCCCACTGAAAGAGGTCCTGTTTAACCAAATTTCCACTTTTGTGAACCCAAGCTGGTCCCTAGAAGGAGATATAAGTGCATTTGGATCAAAAAAGTCAAGTTTAAAAAACTGACAAGGTGTTAGTGCTGGAGAGTGGAAATCTGTTCTAAATTAAATTCAGTCTGATTCTATTTGCTCAATTTCTACTAATACAAACCTTTTACTGACAGATGAAGCAGCTTTCGTGAAAGGAACAAAAAATCTTGGCTTTGTTTTCACTATAAGAGCACCATACTCTGCCACCATAGAAGCTGTGAGTAGCACCCAGAAGATTTTTCAATGCATTACATTTACCTGCCTTTCCAGAGAGCAGCTGCAAGGGAACATTGGTTCAGAACAGGAGCCCTGGAGTCACAGTACCTGGAGTTTCAACCTCGCTCCACACCTTTCCAGCCGTCATTCTCGGGAACATTCCTTAATGTCTCTATATTTGCCCCAGTTTTATCATCAAGCATGTCATAGGGTCCAAGTTAATATATGTAAAGTAATTTAAATTAGTGCCTGGCACATAGAAGGTGCATAATTAAAGTAAGCAATTCCAAAGAGTTAGTATCCTCAGAGCTTCAAGAAATATACTGTGTTTTAGACCAGGCATGGTGGCTCACGCCTGTAATCCCAACACTTTGGGAGGCAGAGGCAGACGGATCACTTGAGGTGGGAGTTTGAGACCAGCCTGGCCAACATGGTGAAATCTTGTTTCTAGTAAATATGCAAAAATTAGCTGGGCATGGTGGTGGGCACCTGTAATCCCAGCTACTCAGGAGGCTGAGGCAGAAGAATCGATTGAACCCGGGGGGCGGGGTTTGCAGTGAACTGAGGTCGCGCCACTGCACTACAAGCCTGGGCAACAAAAGCAAAACTCATCAAAAACAAACAAACAAATAAATAAAATAAAATATACTGCTTTTCCAATGAAGAATTAATATGGTTTAAACTATTTTAGGTGAGTTCAGTTATTAAGCTATTTATTGTACATATTTCCTTGTTCTGTCTTGATAACTTTTCATCACAAACCTTTTATGAGGAAAAAAGCTGAAGCAATATAAACATGGTGGCCAACACACTATTGGTTAAAGATGTTTACTAGACATTGAGTGTTTAATAGAAGTGACTGATTAATTCATCTTTATATCCATAGTATCGGACATATGGATGACTCTCAAATTATTTAAAATCCTATAGTGCCATATTAGAGTTGCTGGGGGATGGAAGATTCAGAGATAAATTGATCTTGCCTACAGGAATCAAGAGGCTAGAAATGGAAAAAATTAGAAAAGAATGCATCGTTGCTGTAAAATTTTATGTATAACACTCCACCTCTTACTGTAAGTACCTCGTCAAACGAAGCATTAAGGATTTCATTTGATCTGTGCGATGTAACACAAAGATTGATTTGTTCTCCCGTTGCTGTCTGCTGATTGTCTCACTTACTGCACGTACCCTGACAGCTGAGACTATTTTTAGACTGTTTCTAATAGTGCTGATTTTAGGTTGAAAAGGGAGGTACTTCTGTCCTGAATCGGCGCTGTCTAGTAGTATTGGAATCATTTGTGCTCTTAATATTGCCCAGGTTGCAAACACTGCTCTTACCAGGGGAGGGCGCCATCATCCCATCAGACTTGCAAGAAAATTTACATTTTGAGGAAAGATGTGTATTTGGAGGGTAAACCTTATTTGTGATTGGGGTAAGAATCATGTTGCAAGATGAATATTTTTTCCTTAGGTAAGAATATGTTATCTTCTGGAGATGGGAGAAAAATACACTTTTGATTTTTTTTTTTTTTTTTTTTTTTTTTTTGAGATGGAGTCTCTCTCTGTCACCCAGGCTAGAATGCTATGGTAGTGGTTTTGGCTCTCTGCAACCTCCAGCTCCTGGGATCAAGTGATTCTCCTGCGTCAGCCTCGCGAGTAGCTGGGATTACAGGCATGCGCCACCATGCCAGGCTAATTTTTGTATTTTTAGTAGAGACGGGGTTTCTCCATATTGGCCAGGCTGGTCTTGCCCCTGACCTCAGGTGATCCACCCGCCTCAGCCTCCCACTTTTGAAAATCTGAATGTTCTGGAGTTCTCCAGGTAAGCTGCCTTTTTATAAAATTCATGTATTCCTCAGGGCTGTTTCCATGACTGTACAGATTGAGAGTTGGGAACATAAATGAAAACTGCAATGCAGAATAATGAAATTCTAGTTATCCTCTACCTTGAAATCTCAGCTTAGTTCTCACTTCTTCAGGCCTCTTGGGCCAAACTCACTTTGGTAAGTTCATGTGGGTCTCTCCTTTACAGCACTTGTCTGAGTCAGGGTAGTGATTCTGAATCTGTTAGCACTTAATGACGGTCCCACAAACTAGAATGTAAGCTCCTGAGGATATTAATCACCTCCTGCCTGGGATGGCTTCCAGGAAGTGCTCAATAAATATTTGACGAAAGGATGGATGTTAGCAATTATTTCACGGTTAAACCAAAAACTGTTTCTTTAAAATAGACAGTGAATGAATTCATTTTGTTCTTTGTAAAGGAAAAATGCTCATCTACATCCTCCTCTCTTCTCATACTCTAGCAGGCCTGAGCCCCTAGCAGCTGTGGCCTGACTCCCCAGAGCATTCTGGGAGGATATCAACAGTGGTGTTATTTTCACTGGCCTTTCCTCAAGACTCATGCAGTCCTATCTCTGGAACCATCAGAGCCTTTCTAATGTTGAATCTGAAACATTTGGGAAGGAAACGACAAACTAGATCATTCTTCCCAAAGCTGGATGATTTCTGAAAAAATCATCTTTTCAAAGCCATATTTCTTAATGACTTAAAAAAAAAAAAAGCTTTTAAGGCCTGGGAAAAGTTGTTATCAACATACCCCCTGTCTAGGAAATCTTTCTCTAAAACCTTTATTACAAGAAAATACACTTTAATGTTCATGTAGCTTTTCCCTTCCTTGATTTTTGACTGCTACTACTAAATCAGTCATTCTCTGTTATTGACCTCTCACTGAGGTCAGGAGTTCAAAACCAGCCTGCCAAACATGGTGAAATCCGTCTCTACTAAAAATACCAAAAAAAGTAGTTGGGCATGGGGGCAGGCACCTGTAATCCCAGGTACTTGGGAGGCTGAGGCAGGAGAATCACTTGAACCCAGGAGGCGGAGGTTGCAGTGAGCTGAGATCGTGCCACTGCACTCCAGCCTGGGTGAAATGAGTGAAACTCCGTCTCAAAAAAAAAATGTGCTCATAACAAGGTGCCACTGAAAGGGCTACAGTGCCATGAGTAGTGTTCTAACAGCTTTGCAAGGACTTAAAGCAACTGCTGATCCTTTATCCCCCTGTCTTCAGTGCTCTTCAGTATGAAGACTGTACACGCTTGGACCTTGGGGGACAGGAGCTTTGGCTTGGACTCTCATGAGTGAGATGGGAGCCGATGAAGACTGTGCTTTAAGTAGGCACAGCTGAGGGGGCTCCCAGGGAGGTGGAAGATGCCCAGGTATTTCTCCCACCTCTTTTGGTCAGTCTTGCTGGTACACTGCTCACGGGCAGCCTGGCAGAGCTGACATCTTGGCGGTGAATATGCTACATTGTGGCTAATGACTGGTGCCAGTGGGCTGGAGGAGGAAGGAGGAAGAGGGAGAGGACACACGGGATCCATGTGGACAGGAAGGGCACCAAGGGTGGAAAGAGCATGGGAGACTGAGCGAGAGACAAGCATCATCTGTGGTCACCCTTGAGATTCTGTTATGTGACTTTCCTAGCTGTCGAACCTCTCTCTGCATCAGTTTCTTGATGCGAACAATGCTCACATATTTAATTCCAGCACTTTGGGAGGCTGAAGCGGGAGGACCACTTGAGCCCAGGAGTTCTAGACCAGCCTGGGAAACACAGTGAGATACCTGCCCCCGCCCACCACTCTACAACAAAATTAAAAATTAGCCAGGCACAGCGATGCATACCTATAGTCACAACTACTCGGGAGGCTGAGGCAGGAGGATCACTTGGGTCCAGGAGGTCGGGGCCACAGTCAGCCATGATTGCACCACTACACTGCAGCCTGGGCAACAAAGTGCGACACTATCTCTTAAAAAAAAAAAAAAAAAGGAAAGCAAAAAGTAATGAGAGAATAACAGTGGCATTGACCTCAAGGATTGTTGTGAAGGTAAACAACAATACCCGACATATTGTAAACACGTGTGTAGGGCTCACTGTATTTATTTATTATTACCATTATTTTAATTGGAGCACTGCTTTCTGATGCTTAAAGTGTTTGAATTTTACTCTTCCTACTAATGAAAGAAGCTGTTTATTCTCTTCTTCAGGAATTGTTTCTGCGAATCTCTTACTTCTTGAATGTTAAACTTGAACATTCTTAAGCAACGTTATTCCTGAGGAGAAATAAAATTCTTTTTGTTGAAAGAGCAGGAGGCCAGGAAAGAGCTCCTGACTGAGAGCCAGACTGGCGCCCTTACATGTGCAAAGCAGTCCTCTGAGGTAGACAGGCCTCAGAGTTGGCTCATCCATTTCATTTCCAACCACACTGAAAAATTTGTAGCTGGAGCTCCTTTTAAATGACCCTGCCAACATCGCCAGGAAAATAAGTGGCAGAATCGGGATTTAGCTCCAAGTCTATCTGATTCCACATTCCCTGATGCTTTCAACTAATCTCTGCTTCCGGAGGTGAAAGATAAGGCAAAAAATATATCTTCGTCCTCCTGGGGGTAAAATGCAGTTTATGCCACTACAAATGATTTCAGTTACCTTTCACATGTCAGTCACTTTTCTGGAATTACAGTGGCCAGGACCACTGCCTGTGTGTGCAGCTTATGGTCTAGTGGAAGGAGGCAGATAGTAAACAGATAAGTAAACAGGTAATTTTAAACTGGCCAGGTGCAGTGGTTCACGTCTGTAATCCCAACACTTTGGGAGGCCAAGGAGTGAGGATCACTTGAGGTCAAGAGTTCCAGACCAGCCTGACCAACGTAGTGAAACCCCATCTCCACTAAAAATACAAAAAAAATTAGCCAGGTGTGGTGGTGCATGCCTGCAATTCTAGTTACTCGGGAGGCTGAGGCAGGAGAATTGCCTGAACTTGGGAGGCAGAAGTTGCAGTGAGCTAAGATCGCTCCATTACAGTCCAGCCTGGACAAGAGTACAACTCCATCTCAGAAACAAAAACCAATCATTTCAGATCGTGATGGTTCATTTGGGTGGTCAAGGTAGCCTTTCTGAGGAGGTGGGATTTGAGCGAGTAATTGAAGGATGGAAGGAGGCAGCCATGAGAAGATACAGAGGAAGAGCATTTCAGGCAGAGGCGACAGCAAGAGCCAGACCCTGCGAGAGACTGGTCTGGCACCAGTGCGGCAGAACTGGAACAAAGGGGCAGGCAGAGCAGGAGCTGGGCTTGCTAACGCTCACAGAAGGATGTGCCCAGTCTTTGTAGCCTAAGGCAAGGAATTTGATATTTCCCCAAACATGTCAAAAAAATAAATAGAGGGTTTTAAGCAAGACAATGTTCTCCAAAGTGTGTTGTAAAGAGATCAAAATTTTCTCAAACTCCAACCTCTTACCTCAGCCTCCCAAAGCGCTGGGATTACAGGCATGAGACACGGCTCTTGGGTGTATTTATACCATTTTTACTTGCTGTACTGCTACCACATAGTAAAGAACAGAAGATCTTTTCATTCTCACATTTGTAGTATTTTGTTCATTTGCCAGCTGGCCACTGGCCACTTAGCTATAATCATGTAATTATCTACACTTCTTACTTCTAGTTTTTACTCCTTTAAGTCTTTGCCGATGTTTTTTCTAAAGAATGTTAGGGAAAAGGAGAAGGCAAGGCATCCATTCTCTTTTCTATGAAAAGAGAATGTTAAATTACTAAGCTTAAGATTAGCAATTCGAATGCAGTTTAGAGTTTAATATATCTTTTATTTGCCTGGGTTCCTCTGTATTCCACCATATTTGAAAGTTGTGCATAAAACTTTTCACTGGGAGAAGTTCTCACTATTGAAGAAGTCATTCTTTTTACTAATCATTTTATGGAACATGTAAGCATTTACTTTGTATTAAGAGCTGTGCCAAGGAGCGGGGGTTTGTATGAAGATGAATGCATTGCCCTGGCCCTGAGGAGCTCACAGTCTATTTGAAGTCACAGTTATATGCAAAAAAAAAATGCACTAGACACATCTAAGCAGATGAATATATTACGTTCTCAGTGAACAGAGAAGAGGTTATTTCTGATTGAAGAGTTTTGGAAGGCTTCGTGGAGGAGGTTGCATCTCTGGCGGAAGGACAGGTAGGATTTTAACAGGTAGATATGGGAGTCGGGAGTAGGACACATACGTTAGGGAGAGGACATGGAGGCAGTGATCACACAGAGGAGAACATAAGCTGTTTGGGGAGTAGAGGATGTTCTGGTGTGATCAAATCTCTGATTGTGCAACATATGGGGTGTGGGATTTGAGGAGGTGCTAAGAAGTCCTGGTGACGTGAAATTTATTTACAGAATCTCTTGAACTATCTCTATAGGACATATGGAGCCATCAGTGGTTGAGAGTGAGGAAGTCACACAATGAGGAAGAAGTACTGTCTCGGGAAGTTTGCTTTGACAGAGTATAGGATTAAGGCAGAGAGGAGAGATCTTCAAACCATTTGGAATGCTATCTCAGGAATAATAGGAATGTGCTTCAGTTCTACCTATAGTAATAACCAGAAGAAAGAAATCCAGAGGACTTTGAGGCAGCAAACATTAAAATCTCTCTGGGATCTATCAAGCAAGCAATTTAACATCTTCGTACAGCAAAATAGGGACAAGA